TGTTTGAGAGTGCATGGACAAACTGTGTATTTCTCACTTCAGTTTGGAGCACTTGCACCTCATCAAATCGCTGAAACAATCTCAGATGTGGCCGGTGATTAAGAGGTTGGAAACCAGAGAACCAGGCTGCCTTCCCCTTACTTTCACACTGCTGCCAATGAAATGTGCACATATTTATTGTGTCTCAGAGCATTATGAATATTAAGTGCTGATGACACTGTGTGTAATGTGATGATTTTATAAAGTATATCTCAGAGCGTGCGGGCCATAGATGACTCAATTAGATTTGTGCATTATATTTATGTCTGTGTCTCTTTGTTTGGTTATCCATCTGCCTGTTTTACTGTTTCTCAGAAATACATTTAAGACCCACACACACCGAGCCAACACACACACACACACAACACCACACACAACAACACACACACACACACACACACACACACTCCTCACTCCTTTCCTCTTCCTGTCCATCCGACTTTAGGAATCAGGGGCTAAGCTTTGCACCAGTGGCTAGACTCTGGGGAGCTGCTCGTCCACCTGTAGACAGCCACATCAGATCTTATTCCCTGCACAGGAACACAATCATACAGGGAGAGGGAGAGCAAGCTCCATCTGTGGAATACTGATGCAGGAGCAGGGCATTTACAAGACAAGCTCAGAGAGACTCAAGTAACATGGAGGCCATGGGATGAATTGTTAAAGATACAGTCTGCAGGACTTAGCAATGTTCTTGGAGGAATCAGAAGAAAAGCAAGAATGCTGGAGGGTGGTATGAGTTTGTGGGGGGCTGCATAAGAAGAGGTTAAAAGGGAAATGAATTGAGAATGGCCTTTAGGTTGTTGTTTTCCAAAAGTTCTATTTTACCAAAAGAAAAAATCGGTTGTAACTTGAAGAAAAGTTTGGAGTTGAGAGCTTTCAAGATCAAAGAAAATCCTGTCACACTAATGTATTTCCTGACCTGAATGTATATCCTGTGAAATATTTTAACATGTACGATGATAGACTGGCGCTAAATTTCGTAACGTCATTCACGGTACCCAGAGGATAAATCACTAGTAGTGATCCCATGATTTTCTATCTAGTGCCACCAGCAGATCAGATTTTTCAGTCATCCAGTGAAATAGTTCAACATCCACTATGAACTGGTACAGCATTTTATAGACATTCATGGTCCCAGAGGATAATATTGTTTGTTTGTTTATGTAGGTTATATATAGGCGTCAATATTTGAGACTATTTCATAACCAGTAAAAAACTTCTTGTAGTAATTTATTTTAAAAATGTTCCTTTTTATTATTGCTGTATGTTTTTATGTTGATGGAATAATAATGGACAATTTCCTTTCCTGCAATAGAGTTTAATATTAAATGCGAACTTTGACTTTTCCTTCAACTGGTTCTATACAATCACTCTCAAATCCTCAAATGGAGGTAGCATTAGCCTGAAGGATAGTAGGGAAAGACTTGTGGCCGGAAAGAAGCCAGTTTTAGATCCAGACCATCTGGTAGCCTGAGAAGAGAAACTGAATGTGAAGCACTCTCTCCTCTCTCTACAGCTGACATTAATAAGCCCCATTTGCTCCAAAGAAACTGTTCAGAGGCCAAAAGTAGAGGCCTGGTTGTACTGAGGAGTTCCAAAAATGTATCAAGTATAACTGCGCAAGTGAGAATCAGGTTACTGCTGAAAAAAGGCAAGTCATGCTGCAAAACCTTCCTGAGTAAATAAACATTTGAAACTACTGTAGTTAATTTTTGCTTGTACTACACCACTAGGATTTCTCCCAGAGTCTGTTTATGTATCCTGTTTCAGGTTATTGGAATAGTTCATGCAGACTATAGAGCAGTCAAAACACTGCAAGCCATTTTAGGTGAATTACAGTATTATTCTCATCTAATAGCTGGCTTAAAACGCTAATCATGCATGCTAATTCCTGGCTTAGCGTGCCTATGGATTAGACGCCCATGTAATGTACAGTTAATCCCATATACACTGCACTGAAAATCCGCCTAAAAGCGTTTCTCATCATCAAAAATTTTCCCTCTAATTATGTCTCCTGAGAGAAGCTCAACTCCCACTTGAGATGAGTTCGTACAGTATTCTCAGGTTCACATGCATGCGGAATACAGAATACATGCCCTTGATCAGGCACTGAGCTATTGCCTTTTTATACAGATATATAGATTGAAATTGATGGATGCTCTATTGCAGATTATACAGCTGGTAATAGAGCTTAATCCTGCCACAAGGCAGATATTTCTATCTTCCTTTTTCCTCTTATATCTTTAATAATCAGTTCTGCTTCCTGTCCCCATACAGTCACATTCAATAACCAGTCCATCGCTTTAAAGTTCAGTAGATTTTCATGTGCAATTTCCAAAACTGTGCCTTCATTGAACTCATAAACAATAGCTGGAATGAAATTTTATGTGACTCCTCTTGTGGTGACTGTGTGTTCTTCTGTGCTCTGCTGAAATTTTAATAACCTATTAATTATCGGAAAAGTGGGAGAAATAGCGGGGAATGAGAGGGATTGAGGCCGCACAGATCTGAAAGAATAGAAAGAGAAGTGAAAAACAAGGCTGGAATTGGCTTCATACTCTCCAACCCTGCAGATTTTCCTCAGAGACTCCTGATTGTTCTGCCCCTTTCAAAGCATCCGCCTGTGGTCTCATTTCTGAGTTTCTCTCATATTTTGATCAAATCTAGAAATAAACCCACTATATTACTGCCTCTGTTATTAGCAGGCTGTATTATGACCTAGCAGGCTTTATTAAGTGACAGTTCTCATTTTGAAATACTTTTGCCAGCTTTGAAAAACAGAGAGCTATGAAGTTGCACTTAAGTCATTTAAGTTCAAGTTAGTGTCATTCATTCATCAGTATACCATGAAAACAAGAGAAGAGTGTCACTATAGGATGAGTCTTCAAAACTTTGGATTACATTCACTGCCAACATTTGCTTGTGGCGTGGCTCTAAGGATCGCAGTTTTGGTCTGAATGTTGACTGTTTAGCAGATGTTAGCATGCTAAATTCCGATGGTGAACATGGTAAATATACCTGCTAAAAGTTAGCATGTTAGCATTGTTACCATGTTGGCATGTTTTTGGGTTGAGCCGAGCACTCGGCTGAAATGAGTATCTGTTGCAGATAACATACTTTTTACATGTATGAGTATTAAACGAGTAAAATGTGCCAACATCTGTACTACAATAGCGGTATATCAACTTTTATAGAGAAAGAAAACTTGTTCTGTTAATCATTCTCTTGATCAAAAACAGCTCTAAAGCTAAATTATGTAAGACATTTTTTATAAATATAGCAACTTCTGATCAAACCAATATCAATTTACAGCTATAACTATGACTTTGACCCTCCCATTTTGTGTTTAAGCACCACCCACTTCTGATTTAAACCCTGCCCATTCAGAGTACAGGTACAAATACAGAAAATTTTGTTGGTTGAACAGATGCAGATACAGATAATGGTGTACTCGCTCATCCCTAATATTCAGACCGAAGCCTGGCTCTAGCGCTTCATAAGAGCTGCTAGCATGGTTATTTTAGTTTACTGCTTATATGTGCAAGGCAAAATAGGGAAAAATGTGAAAGAAAAAGTAAAAGAAAACCTTGTGAGTTACCATGTTAACTTTTTGTTTTGTAAGTTTTAAATACATTAGCTCTAAGGGAAATATTCTAGCATTTACTGCACCATTTCTATCTGACTGCTGTAGGTAGTTATTTTGCAGAGTGGGGGAGTGAAGACCCCGAAAGTTTTACATATAAAACAGAAGTTGAGTTCATTAAAGTTAACAGTAACCAGCGGTGCATGGGGTGTATTCGTATTAAAATACTTGTTACCAGATCTCACAGGATATTTCCCCAACAGAGCTAGCACTATTCATTTAATACACAGTGTGCACATCTGGTAACCATGCAACTGTTAAAAAGAAGTGAAAATATGACAAATCTTCTTTAGGTGCAGCAATTGTTTGTATTTGTGGCACTGATGCAACTTGAAGATGAAACGTTTTCAGCTTGGAGAAAGCAGGGAAGGACCTAAAAATGTCCAAAACGTGACAATTATAATCACATGGCAAGTTTTGGTGATGCGCCAAACTTAAGTGCAAATCTAGGAAATTTTTATGCAAAGTTGTGGTTAAGGAAGGGAATTATATACAATTTTAAGATGATTGAGGGGATTTTTATAGACATTTTTGGTGGCAGTGCATTATGCAGAATTGTCATAAAAGGGAAGTTTCGGTGACATTGCGTTTTTTTCATGCAAATCTGCAGTGAGTTAGTTTTGTCTTGCAAATTTAAGGTGGTAAGGAGAGTGGTTATGTAAATCTGCTCCAAAATGGGTTTCTTTGGATAGAAATGATTGATTTTGCTTTAAATTAGTGAAAAATAAATTTTGCCAAGCAGATGCACATGGATGGTACGAAAATGATCAGTCAGCATACATGTGCAAGATATATTCCTTTTGCTTTTATTAACTTTATAAGTCAGTGAAGGCTGAAGCCAAATATGCAAATATTATACATCTCATAGGTTGCTGCAGTATATATAGAACATACCTCATGTCTACCTTTGGGCTTTTTTTGGATCTAATGAATTTAAATGATCTCAAGATGAGTTGTACAGTATATCAGCTATTCCGATTTCACAGACATTATATTCCTGCAGTTGCTTTAAACCCGTGGATATCCTCAGTGTCCTGTTCCTACCTTGTATTCCCCAAAGTCAATGTTTGAGGGCTAGGAAAGAATGTATTGACTTCATCACTAATGCATATGCATTTTCTGACATTTCACAATGCACTCTCAGTGGCTTGGACTCCTATTCCCGCAGAGACACTACACCAGTGTGTTCTTTTTTTTCCCCTCACACACTTTTTTTTTATAACACACAAGTTTCTTATCTCATCTTCACTATGATCTATATTGATGATAAGCACGGTCAAATTCTCATGTTAGATCATTTGCATTATAAAACAATATTCCATTTGATATTTATTATATCCACTATAGCTTCAAAATAGCAAGCATATGAAAGGGGTCCTCATCAAAGATTCTCTCAGAGTCAAAGAGATGCTGCTCTTAATCTCCTGCTTTGCTTCTTGTCTGTGAAGCCACAAATGGGTGGAACAAAACACTCTGTCTTCTCCTCAGGATATTGCTGCTTGTAGAGCTAATCAGGTTGGAAATGATGGTTGTGTGTATAAGTGCGCAGGCAAACCCACACAGGGACATGCTCGTTTGAACGGCCCTTATCTCCTGTCCTCATTCAACCTCATCCATACAACACATTAACCTTTTTGTCTTTCTCTTAACTGGTACATATATATCCGCATTTAAAATGTGCTTAGTGTAACAAAAAAAGCATTCTTTGTGCACATCTTATCTTGAAGAGGCGCCTGCTTCATTTGCACACTGATAAGTGTAACATAATGTATGTACATCTCCGCGGGATTTCCCAGATGTTTGTTGTGTTTTTTTCTCAGGCTACTAAGCATCATAAGCCGGTCCCTGACCACATTGCCTCAGTTTGTGGAGATTATAAAGGCATCGCTGCCTATCATGAAGGTCATGTAACAGTGGGTCCACATCAAAGGGCACAACGCAAGCAAAATATTGCTCTCATTGTCCAGCAGCTCTTGCTCTGAATAATATAGCATGATCCTCTATGTTCAGGACCTTCCGTTTTAATTAACATGTTAAATCATTTAGGTTTCCATTAGGGATGCACCAATCGACTTTCTCTTTTCCAATATCGACAACCACACTCACGCTATTGGCTGATGCTAGTCCTTTTTTATCAGAACGTGAAAGATGTGAACCTCTGTTTCCGGCTGATTGTGTAAGCTAACATGAGGCTGTAACATGAGATCACTTCTTGTGGAGGTGATGTTTTTGAGGCTTGTGAAAGTTTTATTTATACTGTTTAGATGGCTTATGAAAGCGCGTCATTACAACACATAATGACAGAAACACTCACATTTAACTTGACTAACACATGTGGTGTTGTGTACAGCCCTTGTTCCGTTGAAGTCTGTTTTCCCATCAATTTGTGTTTTCCCTTACTTTATCCTGAGCCCGTTTCCTGAACCCTGACGCTCCTTTTCTGCAATGCTTAACCTCAACCCGAACTCTATAGTGCCTATAATCTACCTTAAGCCCTAAATCTCATTGTGACTGTGACACATACCTGTGCTGCACTCGTTATGTGTCCACATGAAAAAAAGCTTCCCATAGTGTATTACATGTGTCTACATCTGTGGTTAGCTCCATCTTTTTCCCACAGACCAAAACTAACCTGTTAAACAAGGTAGCTCCTCCTGTTAACTCCAATTGCTACAAGTTCATCATTAATAACATGTAGCCCATTGCCAATCTACATACCATATACATTAAACATTTAATTAAATGTATTCCATACCTGTAAATGTTTCTAAATCTACTTTAGACAAACAATATGGAGTAGCCATATCTTTGGTAATGTTTGCTAACTTGAAAAATCAGCAGCCCTGGTTGCACGTTTTAAAAATATACCCAACCTCACGTTGTGTCACTCATATTTCCACACCTACTCCAAAACTCTCGTCCGTCATTAAAGTTTTTGGAACAGGTTTGATTTTTTGTGTTTTTTTTTCACAGCAGTCAGATGAGAGGCAGCAGGGAGAGCGTCAGCACACAGACAGAGAGGGTGGACAGCTCAGCCTCCTGTAGTCGCAGTGCCAAATGCAAGATGCAGGCAGAGAGTGGCGACAACCTGCGGAGGAACCTCCAGTGGAGAAAAGCACGGAAGGGAAATGGAGAAATGAAGTGAGAGACAGAGCGGCAGCAGCGAGCAGACAGCTCCTTTATCAGCAGGTGAAACTCTCCTTGTCCTTGACACCTTGGACCCAATTACTTCTTACTTCTTACTACTTTCAAGTGAGAGGACCACAAAATTATCCTCATTGCATGACGACTCCGTCTCATATATCAGACTCGCTGTGCGAGGTTTCTGTGCATAATGAATTTAATCGGATGACGAAAAATAAGGACTTGATGTGCAAAGGCCTTAAGGCACTGCCATCACATTATAATACACTGCATGCAGACGGTGGCTGGGTATCCACGTTAACTTTACACTTTAGCTTACTGCTGTAAGGTAGTGTGCCAGTACTAGCGTTAATTAAACTACAGCGATTTGACACAGGGGTTGTAACATTCTGATAAATCTGAGAAATAGCCTCAAGTGACGTAACTTAAGTCAGCGTCAGTTATGAAATGAAAAAATTGGTTAGTGGACTTAGAAAGAGGGTTCGCTCTGACCTAGCTCTGTAGCTCGCACTTCATTTCTGCTTGAGGGTTAGGGTTAGACACTATTAGCGTAACACACCCGGACATCGTAATGAACTGTTGGCAGTTGAGTTGCATTGTGGGTGCCAGGTTTTAAAAAGCAAGAAGAATGTGTGGATTAAAACCAATGTATCTCTGGTTCTGCTGCATCGATTTTAAACTGTCCATTGTAAGTTGTTTTCTAAAGTCCAACCAGAGTGCAAATCAGTGGTGTACTCTTTTAAGTCTTTTCAAAAGTTTTGGAGGTTGTCAATTGAGCCCCAAAGCGTCAAAAAGGCTTTTGTCCCAACACCATGGGAATAAAGCCAACTTTTTGGTGGTCTCAGTGGTGGTCTTTTTGCCTCATTATCACTTACAGCCACCAGTCACTCTTCAAAAGAATCTTAAAACAGCCTTTGCCTGTGGTGATACCATTTTAAAGCTCAAGTTGTCACTTAGGAATAAACATCTCTCACAAGCCGACGCACATTTATAGTCCCCTCCTCTGAGTGTCTGTGAGAACGAGACTGACCAGGGACATTTCCCAGAGCGCCGTCTGATGTCACGTGTGTGTATGCTAAGTGAGAACAACTTGCCAAGATGAGGTGTGTCATTTCCCGGTCTCTGAGTCAGTGATATGTTCTTCTCTCCCACGTCTCTCCCTCCCTCTCACAGTCCCCTTACTTTCGAGACTTGCCCATAAGTAAACAGCAGGACAGATCTGTGATCAGAGACTTATGACAAGGTTGCCAGGAAGTATTTAGTGCCCACTTTGTTTCAGAAGTTGATATTCCTAGAGGTATAGCTGTAAGCAGTTGAAAATAAAAATGTTATTTATTATTATGATTTATAGAGAAGCAGATGCATGAGACAGATAAGAGGCTCACACTACTTTTCTTAGCTAATATGTGATTCTTACATTCATAATGAAACATCATTTCTCAAGATATTGCTAAAATGGACTGAGATATGTAAGGAGGAAAGCAATGAGGTAGCCATTAAAAATATAAAGTAAAGACAACGGGATCCTAATGTAACAGTAAAGCGTGATTTTTGGCATATAATGTTAAAGAGGTACTGTATAATGTATGACATGTTAACACACTGAAAAAGTCAATGCCATTGTGACTAACAGCAGTCGACAGGAGGTGTGAAATGAGAGGGACAGGATTTGGAAGGCAGTTTTAGGCTCATTGAAAAGGTGTTGCCTCCATGGAACAGGATTTCTCAGTGAACAGAGTTAGTAGCATGTCAAATAATTACATTATTTCCAAGGTGCTACTCACAAATGAATTACACTGTGGTCACACTTGCCTCCAGTTTTATGTCCCATTGTACAGTTAACTGCCAAAAAATCTGAAACACTCTCGCTCTAAAAATATCTGCATAGTTTCTGCATTGTATACGGTGTCTGCAGTATATAGACATCATGCATCTAGTGTATTGTATTTGACAGTGACTTCCAGTATTTTATAACACTCACCTCCAATTTTTTGGTGTTTGGGAATGGCGTCACACTCTCTGCATGTGTTGGTCCCTGAGCAGTTCTGTGCTTTGTTTGTACAGCCGGGAGGGGCACACGTGTATGTTGGTGCATGTTCCTCTGTGTGCAACTGAGGAGAGCAACTGAAACCGGCTATTTCTCATCTACCTCGGTGAATCAAGGATTTATTTTGACCAAACTAGAGTTGGTGATTGTTGGAACACAGACTAAAAAAGATTGTATATAATATGTCTGGTTGCGAGCGATGTAACAGCTGTTTCTGGTTAAACAAAGAGAATCTTACTCTCTAACTACATGGTCTTTCTCTGTAGGGATCCTTTCAATCATACACTTAGAATAGCAATCTGAGCCTGTCAGTGGCAAAAACAAGCACTTTTAGTGAGCGTGCTCTGATGGGTGCATTTGTCCCCCAAGAACAACGTTGCTGCCATTTTCACATCTCTGGTTTATTTTGACCAAACCATCAGACCAGACTGTGGACAGACTAACAATGACCGTTTTTGGTGAGTGTGTCTTATGATTATCTGCTAGGTTACTGGTTTTGTCTAGGAGTCTGGTGGGCCATAGGGTCAGTGTACAGATTTTTGTTTAGAAAAAAACTAAATCAGGAAATGAGCTATTTCTCGACTACCATTTATAAATATTAGGAACAAAACGGATCGTTTTTCTTATTTTATTTTTTTAAACACAAAAAACGGAAAATGGCTGATTTCCCGATTTTGGTCTTTTCATTTCAAAATGAAACGCTGCAAAGTACACTGACCCCAAGCCATTTGTTTTGGTCTGAGAGGCCGGTGCTCTAGTGTGACACCTAGTGGCAGTAAATCTCATATATATCCTCTCAAACAGCTTTTATTTGTTCAGTTTGTGGATGTTGGAGTTCAGATACATACCTCGCTTCATAATTATATTTTTCTTCATGTTCCTGGTAAAAGCTAACAAACTGACCCCTGAGAGACTACAGAACAGGTGTTTGGTGTGAAATAAACCCAGAGTTGCTTAAAGATACTCTATTCCTCACTCTTCATGTTGATGTCAGTAAATTATACCACACAGTTCAGGCTCATGTGGACCTGTAGCCGTTAACTGCCCCGAGCAAACACCGCATCCACAAACATCCAGCAGTGAAAACATGACATGTGTTTGCAGAGCACATATTTTCCTGTGTGGTTAAAATGAACTCCGACCTACGTTGCCACCCTCATATAGCCGGTGTTAGCCGAGCCGGAAGAGAGAGGCTTCCCTCGGGAGCTCGGAGGAGCACTTCTGCCTCCGACTCTTTCAATTTAATCGGCTGTGGGTGGAAATGTTTCCACCGGATCTTTCATTAGCTCCCCGCTATGAAAAGAAATCTCTGAGGTGCTACAGATCACGGTGTTCGCTCCAGATTCAGAGACAGTGTTTATGTTAAAAATAAGATGAGGGAAGATGGTAAAATGGCCCCGGGTGAATTATATTTTCATTTTAAAGACACCTCCTCTAAACGTTTGTGCAGCTACATGGCTCGTGATGGCAGTTGCTGTGATACCTTTGTATCCTATAACACATGCAACCCGTTCCCTCGGAGATAAATCACGCACCCTGCAGCACTGTGTGAACACAAATACATACCCGCTTGTAGATTCCACCCCCAAAAACCCCTCTGAACCTCAGTTTGGATCTGGATCTCAGCGCTGTGGCTTTGATACTGAACTGTTAGTCTCACATACACGGAGTCTGTGTCGGGTAGAAATACATCAGCTCCTGTGGATCAGCCATTTTACACAAACTGCACTTAAAGATCCCCTCCAGATGCTCTTAAGACATACATATAAACAGCTACAGAATAATATAAAAATGTCTGATAGCACCTACTCTTTCTACGTCATTAAAAAATAACAGAAAATGGATATAAATATGTAAATCCTCAACTTCAAGTCAACTTCCTCCTTGCCTGTACTTAGATATACTACGTGCTAAGCTAATGTGTTGAAAGACAACCACATTTTGAAGATGGTTCAAAGATAAACGATAATTACATATAGTCACATCCTAAGTTAGCTAATAATACTAAACACTAGTTAACTAGCTAATAATTGATGTAGACTAGCTAGTTTAATCACATTAATCATTACATCTGATAGCTAATGTTAGCAAATCTATATCAGCTGTTAATAACAATATCAATTAACAGTTAATGTAGATTAGCTAGCTAGTTAGTGTTTTGTTCACATTAACTTAAGATGTGACTATAAACATTTAACTCAGTCTACCTCAGATTGTTCATTATTTCTTGTAAACATGAAGTTGTTCCTGAGTTATTTCCTGCGTGTTGTCTGGACGGCGGTCCAACGTCCTCTCCTGCGTCCACTGTGAGACTGTTGGACTGACTGT